GCTAAAGCCATTCGAAAAATCGCGCCTTATTATTTAAGCATACTCGGACGAAAGAAAAGTCGCTATTCTTATTTAATTACCAACCGTTCAAAAGGCTAATCAACGATTACTTATAGCGCTAACACCTATTCTACTTCTATATAAAATCCAAGCCTACTTTCGCGATATTACCCAAGCATACACCTAATCAGCTCACTTGCTCAACCGGCTAGTCTTAGCTTACTTACTAAAAGAGCTAATAGACAAATACCCCCTTAAAACAATCATAATAATCTAAAGAGCGCTATACGGAGTGCCTAAAGCAAGAACCTATTAATGGGCTACTTACTATGCCCATCATAAAAAAAAGCTTAGCATGATTACTAGCACATTCGACCTTTGCCTTTTACTCTCTACTTTAAAAAAAAACGATTTCGCGATTATTAGCCTCTAAATTAATAATACGTTTATCTTCGCAACAAACGCCTTCGCTACTAAGAAAGAGAACGAGCTTACCAAAGCTAAATTAGATTCCAAATCTCGAGACAAGCTGACGTCAAGAGGAAAACTCGCGTTCAATAAAAGTATATTAAGACAACATGCATCCGACAACACGATATCCCTTATACAAAAAGGACAAGGTTTAAAGCTTAAATTGATCGGAAATAGCCTTGATTTCAAAACCGAGTACCTCGAGCAACGTGCCCGAGCTGCGTATATTGCATCAATATGCCAACCAAAAGCTTGTTTCGACCTTTCCACGGCTGCTTAACATTAAAATCCATCCGTTAAAGACGTTAAAGCTTTAAATAAGCGAATCCAATAGATAATTGATAATATAAATCGAAGCATTTAATATATCCTTATTCTTTTAAGAAAAGCTAAGCTATTCGTGTTCGTCGATAGCTCTTTTGCAAACAATAAAGACTTAAGTTCCTAGATTAGATACACGATTATCTTAGCTACCGAGCAAAATACAAGAACTAATAAGATCGAATTGCAAAGCAACCTCGTCCATTACTTTTCGGTAAAATGCTCCCGAATCACTAAGAGCGTATTAGCTTCCGAAGTATATAGTATAATAGCTAAAGTAGATATTGCAATTGCAATAAGTATTACGCTTGCAATAATCACTAAACAACTCGGCATACCTATCATTCTAATAATCATTCTTATTAATTCTTACTCCTTTTATAAGTGCTTAGTCAAGCTTAATACTACGAAAGAAAAACGCTTAATAATCGATATCATAGCGCTCAAGCAATCTTACGAAAAGAAGGAGCTTACGGAAGTTCGATGGATTGCTAAAAAGCATAACACCGCCGACGCAATAACAAAGAAAACACCTAATAAAGCACTAAAAACCTTCTTGGATACGAATAAGCTGAAAGTCAAACTGGAAGGTTGGGTTAAAAGAGAAAGCTAAAAAAGATTGTTTTCGGTGCTTCCTATTAAAGGAGCTACTTTAGCGTATAAAGTTTTTTGTATTTTTTTGAGTTTTTCTCCACTTTCCTTTTACTTACTTTACTATTAGCAAGAAAAAAAGACTGCGAGTATTAGAACTAGCATTCAGCTTGGTTGACTACATTCAGCTGAGTCAACTTAATCAAACAGATCAAACAAGTCAAGTCACGTGGATACCCGTTTGTACCTTCCGTTTGCATCGGTAGCTATAAGAAGCTACCACCTTACGTACTTAAGAATAGAGGGAATACGAACTGAACACACTCACACCTTGAATACGTATTCAACCTTGCATCATCACACCTGTGATACCAACACTCCATAAGCAAATAAAGCAATTAACCGATACGTAAGTAGGTAGAGGAGCGAAAGGTTTGTTTCTGGAGAGTGAAGTCCGAGGTCCGGCCCGAGAGAATAGGGGAAAAAGAGTTGGAGAGTCCGAGAGCGAACATACTACCGGTACAGTAGTCCATACACGTACAAGTACGTAGTAGTACGCTGTACATATACGGACATGCGATTTTAACTATATGGAAGCCTATAACTGACCCAATTACGCAGTATCCACTTTAGAAAAGGGGCCAGGTAAGGTTGGTACGTACACTTCAAGCACGGGGCCGGATGGCTCGGTACGAGGCTTCGGTAGATGGGTTGATAAGTTGATGTCATTCTGCCGGGCTGCAAGGTACGGAGTACAGAGTAGGTTATGAGGAAAAAAAAAAGATGATGTGAGACCAAAAATAGCGGCGGACGCATTCATGGGTTAGAAAATATGCGACGACGAGGTTGAACTGTTAATAGTCAGTGCACTGACTTTGTGACCTGCGGGCTCTCGGTCATAGTCAGGACAAGCAAGTGTCCCAGGTCAAGCAAGTGTCCCATTTCAATTATTTCAACTTGTATTAGAAATAACTTAGCAACGAATATTGCTATGATATTCAAAACTAGATGCATAGATCGGCGTAATCGAGATCTTTAAAAGTCTAACCAATTATAAAATATTTTTATTAATAATTTAATAATGAATAGAATAAATAATATTTGATTATCGATTGAATTTGATTGAAAATCAAATATTTTGTATTAAAAAATTTATATTTTTGAATATTAATCGTCTTTTGAATTGAGCTTTGATATAAAAATTTGATATTTAAAAAATTCTTAATCAAGCGGACTCGTACCATTTGGTTTTTTTATTATAACTTTTATAATTATTATTTTATTTAAGTTACAAATATAATCGAAAAGTTGATGTTCTTGAATTTTCGCTAAATTGTCCGAGCTTTTTTCGCTGTTACAATTGTGATTTTGCGTAATAAATATTATTTTACTTATTTTAATAATAAAAAATATATAATATGTTTAATAGGTAAAGTATAATGCACTTATCTCGATTCGTATATTTAATTTTTATTATTGTATCTTTTTTTGTTATTGACTTATTCTTAATACAAATCGCGATTTTCGATTCTTTTCGATAAAGAATCAAAAACAATTTTTTTTTACGATTTGCAACTTGAATTACTTGATAATAAAAAGAGCTATATTGATAAAAATTGAATGCATTAATCGGCAGAATCGAGCTCTTTAAAACCATCAAATTTTTAATATCATAGCTTTATTCGTTATTAAGTTATTTCTAATACAAGTTAAAATAATTGAAATGGGACACTTGCTTGCCCTGACTGTGACCGAGAGCCCGCAGGTCACAAAGTCAGTGCACTGACTATTAAATATTTAAAAGGAATAGGAAAGGGGTCTTTGTGAAGAGAGAGAAAAGTAATCGTCGGCTCGCTTAGGTGGGCCTCCTTTTATTCTTTCAATCTTAGTCGGTATAAGCGACTGCGGATCGGAAGCGAGTGCGGATTTTTTATTTTACTGTTAGTTTTCGTATACAAAATACAATTTACAACATCACTTTTTGATCCACAACCGCACAACTCAATTGTATTTTACAATCAATCACGGGCCGAAAACGCACTCGTTCGAAGAAGCTTTTAAAGATTTTTCGATACAAAAGCTACGCTCAACCAAGTAGTCTTAATGCAATTGAAGATCTTCTGCAAAGCAATAGCGAATCGTCGATACGCTTTAAAAAAAAGAAAGAGATACTAAGTATCGTAAAGGAGTCGATTCACGCAAAGCTAAACGCGAGCGTAAAAGGACTATACGAGAACGCCTTGCTGCAAGGCTAATTATTGAAGACGACGATATAATACTCATTCTAATTCTCGATTCGGAAGAGATTTAATAGATGCAACAATCTCTTGAACGTCAACTTTTGCGGCTTCGTAAAAAAGGTATTCTTCGACCAACTCTTTCTCAACCCGAACTTTCTTACGATAACGATGATCTGATAATTATAACCGATACCGTTAAAGACCTTTCTTTAAAACAAGATGTTTTTCTTTTTTCTAGTATTGATATCGATAGCGATGGTTTCAATTCTAATAGTAATAGAGATTCAAACGATTCGTTAATAGTCAGTGCACTGACTTGTGACCTGCGGGCTCTCGGTCACAGTCAGGGCAAGCAAGTGTCCCATTTCAATTATTTCAACTTGTATTAAAAATAACTTAATAACGAATATAGCTATAATATTAAAAATTTGATACTTTTAAAGAGCTCGATTCCGCCGATTAACGCATTCAAATTTTATCAATATAGCTCTTTTTATTATCAAGTAATTCAAGTTGCAAATCGTAAAAAAAAAATGGTTTTTGATTCTTTATCGAAAAGAATCGAAAATCGCGATTTGTATGAAGAATAAGTCAATAACAAAAAAATCTATAACAATGAGAACTAGATATACGAATCGAGATAAGTGAACTATACTTGATTTATAAACAATATTATATATTTTTATTATTAAAATAAGTAAAATAATATTGATTACGCAAAATTACAATTGTAATAGCGAAAAAAGCTCGGACAATTTAGCGAAAATTCAAGAACATCAACTTTTCGATTATATTTATAACTTAAATAAAATAATAATTTTAGAAGTTATAATAATAAAAACAAATGGTACGAGTCCGCTTGATTAATACTTTCTTAAATATCAAATTTTTATATCAAAAATCAATTTAAAAGACGATTAATATTAAAAAATATAAAATCTTCAATCAAATTCAATCGATAATCAAACATTATTTATTTTATTAATTATTAAGTTGTTAATAAAAATATTTTATACTTGAGTAGACTTTTAAAGATCTCGATTACGCAGATCAATGCATCCAGCTTTGAATATTATAGCAATATTCGTTGCTAAGTTATTTTAATATAAGTTGAAATAATTGAAATAGGACACTTGCTTGACCTGGGACACTTGCTTGCCCTGACTGTGACCGAGAGCCCGCAGGTCACAAGTCAGTGCACTGACTATTACAAAAATTTCTAACACGTTCGAAAAATCCGCACTCGCTTTCGATCCGCAGTCGCTTATACCGACTAAGACTGAAAGGATGAAAGGAGGCCCACCTAAGCGAGCCGACGATTAGGTACCTATCCAGATACAAAGAAAAGATTCTCGCTTATTCGTCAGCCCAGCACGTGCGCTGAACTAGTAGTAGCTCAGAGCTTATAGGTACTCATACAGTACTTATACGGACGTATTGCATCATAGTAATTGGCCTATTACTCTCCTCTTTTTTGAATACATACTTATCGAAGGTATAATTTTGCAAGGGATGATATCAAGTTTTACTATATTTACAAGTAGAATGATTTTCGACTCAAGGAGGGCCAACTGAAACAAACATACTACGTACACCGCCTCTTCATACGGGTTTAAATGTCTATTTATATCTTTTAAAACTGAAAGGATGTACGTAGTAAGAAGGCCTACTTAAGCGAGCCGACGATTACGTATTGCTCGTATTGCTCGTATTTTTTATACTTGTACTAGGTACGTACCTACTTACTGTACCTATCCCCCTGAATAAAAAAAGAAAAGTTGAAATTTACCAGGGGTTAACCAGGGGGTTATGACCCTAGCACTTGGGAAGCACTTCCTCAAGAATTCATTATTTCTTTATATGATTCGTAATAAAATCGATATTAAGCAATGATTGATGCTCAAGGAAGACTTACAACATACTACGTACTAGAAAATTAATACATAAGTTTTTTGCTACATTTAATGAGCGGTAAGCTTTAAGGTCGAAATACCCACGGTACAGGCCTAAGTATTACCCCTCGAGGGTGCCTTAAAAGTTTAGTTTCCACTTTAAACCCCCTGTTTTCCCTACCCTCGAGGGGTAATGTAGTACTTACGCCTGCGACGTAGTACGCTTTCACCAAGTGGGTCCGTCTTTTATTTAAGGAGGGGGATAGTATCAGCGATAAAAAGTATACCTACATACAAAATTGCCGAGCCACTTCGCAGTCATAGCTATATAAGATAAGCAATCCCTCTTTGTGTTTTCATTTCTATTTCATACTATAGTGCTCTACAATCTCCTTACAAGCTCAATTCGTTAAAACGATCACTTTTATTTACCAACTCTATTATGCGTTTCGATAACAACCTCTTGCTCGCCTCTTTTCTCGGCGTCGCAACCGCTTTCCGTCGAAGTTGCAGGCCCGACACTACTAGCCACGGTACCGATACCGGCTTTTACTCCATAACAAACACCGACACTTTGACTAATATCGCGGCGGACTTTTGCACTACTATCTCAGAGCTGCAAAATTTAAACAATAACGCCCCGACCACTACGGGAGATATTTTAAAAGTTCCTTGCAAAGCTCGAAAGCGCGATTGCTCTAGGATCCCGGGCAGTGATTATGGGTATTATACGATCGTCGAAGGCGACGACTTGGCGACTATTGGGGCAGATTTCTGCACAGATGCCAATGGATTAGCGATTATAAACGACAACCTTATCGCCCCCCCCCCACTTTCTCCTGGCATGGTCCTCGAAGTTCCTTGCTCTTGGAACTAGCTACAATACGGAACTGGACTCTATTCTAGAGTTGGGATCTATTTAGCAGTTGAACTGCTCCTTTTATCTTTTTCGACATTAGGGTTGAGCTCAATGTATTTCGAAAGGAAAGAAGATAGTGGACAAAAACTAGGTCTTTCTTTATAAAATATCAAAGACTTGATTGTCAATATATAAAAACATGATATCAATAAATCGATTCTTAAAGTGACGTATCTTTATATACCACGGTACAGGCCTAAGTGTTACCCTTCGAAGGTGCCTTAAAAGTTTAGTGTTGGTACACAGGTTGATAGTACTACCGTAGTAATTCAGGAGAGAGATGGAACGCTAGCCGTTTAGCGTACTTGGCAAACAAAGGGGATCAATAGTTACGCCGCTCCGAGAGGCGGCCATATATCAAAATCTTAAGTGTCTTTTAGCATAATATTTGCTTTAAATACTCTAAACTTGTTATTTGCATCTTTTAACGTTAATATAAGTCTTTAAAATTATGGTCGGTAAACGAAAATTCGGCTTTGAACTACCTTTTTAAGAATCTCATTTATGAAACACTCTAAATGCTTTTTTTTATAAGGAGCGCGCTCTTCGACCACGGCCTAGGAAAAAGCCTAGAACATTAGCTTATTATCAAGCTAGAAAAAACGCTTATAATAATCCTATTATAGCTTATACACCTCGTCCTTTTATTATATGCCCGAAGGTATTCAAACTTAAAGAGCGTAAAGTCGACGTAATATTATTCTTTTATTTCTATAAGATCGCTCGAGTAATTCTAATGCCCGCTTACTCTTACACAAAAACAAGCTGCTTTATATTAGAAGATCAGTAAAGCTATTATTCAAAAGTAGTGGAAAGAGCGAGATAATAGCGAGGGGTATAGATCGAAAAGTTCGGAATCGCTATTACGATCGCAAGAAACATTTAAAAAAAATTAATCGTAATTTCTTATTTAAGCTTGCTTAATTATACGATACTTACGAATAATGCTGCATTCTCCGTTAATATTTTCTTGCTCTATGATTAGCTGAAAATAAGTAGTATTTATAACAAAAGTACTAGTATAGTCGCGAAGAAAGCAATTCAATAAAGGGAACGCATGTCGTTCTATTCAAAGCGGCGTAACTATTGATCCCCTTTGTTTGCCAAGTACGCTAAACGGCTAGCGTTCTATCTCTCTCCTGAATTACTACGGTATCAGGTCTTTGGTTGGTTGGGTTGTGGATGTCTGGTATTGCTATACTGGTAGTGGCGGTCCCTTAAGGGGACCGCGGGTGCACGTGCCACCCTCACGTGCCAGGCCTACCACTTCTCGTCCCTTCCATTCTTGCCTGCCACATTGGCCCTTGTACTCCGACATTTAGTTTCCACTTTAAACCCCCTGGTTACGCTATCCTCGAAGGGTAATACTTAGGCCTGTACCGTGGTAATTTGATCAACTTACTACGTACGCAGTAATTCCTGCCTCTGACTAGTACTCCGACCAGGGGTACGATTATAAGGATTCATTGAGCCTTGAAAAGTATCTCTGCGCCAGTATTTATGGAGTAGTCTGTGCAATGGAGTTGACAAGGCTTTACGCAATCTAAAAACCACCGCTCCACGATTTAGAAAGCTAAACCGGGCCCGAAATTTGTTCATGGGAAGGGATAGTACGGACGAATTGCATCACAATCGGCTTATTACTCTCCTCCCCCACGGGTACATGTCGAAAGTATAATTTTGCAAGGGATCTTACCAGCTCTTAGACCGATGAACTTGCGCATAAGGATTCACTCAGCCTTGACAAGTATCTTTGAGCCAGTATCTACAACTACTACGTACGTAGTAGATTGTGCTAGATTAGATCGGTAATAACCGTGCCATGCTTTTCTTCAAGCTCGAGATTGAATCGGAAGCAAATTAAAAGAAGGGGGAAGAAATGAGAGAGGTATGGCGGAAGCTTAACAAAATTGGGCGTGATTCGCGCGAAGCGAGAGTTGTTTTTGTAACATATCGCTTCCACAACTGTTCTGCTTTACTTTTTTGATTTGACGTGTTAGATAGCTTCATTTCCTACGGCTGCGACTACAGCTACGGATCTTTATCGACGCTTTGCGCATTGGTTAAGATGGCGCAGTATAAAGTAGCAGGAATGCTTGGGTGGTCGAGGCATGCAAACAACAACTCTAAGTACAACTATTCCGTACAGCTGCAGTACTACGTATGTGTATCAGCTAGCCGGGTTCCCATCCTTCTCTCCGATAAATTATTTCTAAAAGTGACGTCGATGTTTTTAAATCGAAAAGGAATATTGCAATATTATAAATAAACTGGCCGGGTTCCTATCCTTCTCTTCGGTAAATTATTTTTAACATAACGTCGTTCTTTTTAAATCGAAAAAGAATATTGCAATATTAAAAATAACTAATTAAGTTTAAATTTGAATTTATATTAAAGATAATATTTTTTATATAAGAAGAAGAAGAAGAAGACGATACTCGATTCTTCATCCACTGCAAGCACTACAAGCTTAAGCATTATTTCTTTTTATCAGCTCTCATCAATCAAAGATTTTATACCACCAACACGATGCTACGATTGCAATTCACCTTCGCGCTTTTGCTAGCCTTGAGCCTTTTCTCCAATGGAGCTCATGGATTTTGGCGGAGTAAGCAAGTTATCGGCTATGCAATGGTTTCTAAAGTAAGCTTTAAACTTGATTATATTTATATAAAATAAGCTTATATACTAATTACGCGAATTATAGGAGCATGCTAAGGCAATTAATAAAAACCACGATTTGATTGTACAAGTTTCTCCAAAGTATCAAGTAGGAGCTGGCTTTTACCTTCGTAAGTTAATTTACATAAACCGCTATTTAGTACGCAAAGCTAATAATCTAAATTAGGAGATAGACCTGGCTGGGAAAGACAAGTAGGAAAATGGTATTGTGTTATCAAAGCAGACAAAAAGAAAATAAAAGCAGCCCGCAAAGTGACGATCCCGAAATTTAATCAAATACGTATTGCGCCTGATCGGTCTCAAACAACGACATTGTATGGCGCAGAGGAACACGTTATCTCGAACTATATAGCGATATATAGAGGTTTGCCTCAGCCCGATAAAGTGCTGCGATTTTCTTGGGTTGAGGGCCTCGATCAGCAACGACAGATGACTATTCCAGCGCAAATGGTAATGAACGATGATTTGGAAACCTGGGCCAAATGCTTTGAAACAGAAGAAAAGCTAAGGAAATATTCGGAAGAGACTATTGAATGGGAACGCGATTGGAAGCCTGATGTCGATTTCCAGTCAATTGCCCCTCCAAGGCAAGGAAGCCAAAGGGGTGAAAGTGGAAATTAAACTTTTGAGGCACCTTCGAGGCGTAATACTTACGCCTGTACAAAGTACTTTGTGCAACAGAGTTGATTAAGCTTTCAGCTATTCAGAAATCACCGCTCTACGATTTCCAAAGCTAAACTGGGTCCGACATGTATTTATAGGGGGGGGATATAGCACGCATACTGGAATTTTTGTATTTATACGCACGGAGCTCTGAACCTTTCTCTCTTTCTAAACCATCTTCTTTGAATTATTCGACTGCTCGATTGCGTCGTCGCTTTTGAACTTCCGTTGAACGCGTCACTCTTGTTATTACGGAGTATGATAATCTGCAATAGCATTCGTTTAAGGAATGAGAATGAGAAGGGACACCTTCTCGATGAAGCTCCTCGTATACACTCGGCTTTGCACCAAATTTGAGCAAGCCATCTGTGCTTGAGGCGCAGCCCCTTTGCTTCGCCCGGCTGGGTGGGTTGGTTACGTACCGGTAATCACCTAGGCCGCCCTTTCCCCCTGCCTCACCTTCCCCTTCCCGTCAAGGCCCATCCGTATGAAGCGTCCTTATTTTTTGAAGTATCCGTTTTTTCTTCTTTTTTTTTTTCTTGAAATCCCCGATTCCTCCAAGCAAATCTAAGCACTTGCGACCAGGAATATAAAATAAAAGCCTCGGCTACCAATCCTCCCCCCCCAAAAAGAGCGCCTGCATAAACCGCGCCAATCTTAACAGCCGAGAGAGTTGCGCAGATTACTAGGTACGTACTA